TCATATGGTACTTCACAGTTTACGAAGTTTCTCCTTAATATCCTTCATCTTCACAGTTACACTGTGAATACTGTGATGTAGCTATGATTGCACTAATTTATAAAAACAGAGGTTCAGAAATATGTGTTTTTCCAATAAAAAACAATAAACTAGTGCCTGAGGTCAGGTTTTCTGAAATCCAATGATATTTATACCATACCAGTATTTTCAAACTTGAGTAATGTATATGCCGATATGAAGGAAAAAAATACTTTCACAGACCTCTTCAATGGGAGAGAGTCTGTGAGTATTCTTCATACCTAGTAATAAATTTAAAATATGCAAAATTATTTTATTATAGACATTCTTAAATAGGCTCAAACACAATGACAGGTGAACTCACTATGCTTATACCCCTTGTAGAATTATAAAACTAAAAGTTACTAATTAAATACAAGTAAAACTATAAATAATGTCTACAATAACAATGAGTGCATAGAATGATACTTTGCTGAATCTAAGTCGTGGCTCACAGAGTTAAGTGTACTGCACACATCCTTCTGAATACAACATGCCTGCACTACAGTGTGCAAAGTAAAGATAATTATCACTTCACTTTCCTATTAGTTCAACTACTGCAAAGTCTTCCACTGCTCCGCCCATCTGGGAGTAAATGAATCATTTATAAATTAAGCTTCTGTGCCTTTAAATAAACTTGATTATAAACACAAACATAGAGGCTAAAACCAATGACAACACTCTAAGAAGGCTATCAATATCCAGATATATTTGACTTCTTTAAAGATTATCATTTCACTTAAAACACACAATGTTTAAATGCTTACAGAGAACTTGTGGACCCCAAGGCTGTATCAGCTACTCTTAGCTTTCCTCGTATCTCAGTTTTTAAGAACATTGATAGATAATTTCAGATACCTCGGTTGCTCCCAGCCAGTTTTGTTGCCTCCATGAAAACTTCTGTGGCATCATTAGCACTGCCTGGTGCACATGCTCCTGGGGCAGAATACAATAATATTAACCCAGCATCTTGCAGCTCACAAAGCAGTCAGCCACATTCCTGCCTCATCTTCTTAAGAATCTCAGAAAGATAGTATGTTACCATTTTACAAATGAGGAAATATTTGTGAGTCTTTGCTAGGTTAAGTGGCTTATCCAAAGTCATGAAACTAATTGCAGAGCTCAGCACTTGGACCAAGTTTCTCAATTCCCAGTCCACTACACTCTATAATTACATTTTTTTTTTTTTTAATCTCTGTGAAGTCCATCAGAGTTTTAGTCCCAGAGAAGGTGCTCTTCACAGCCTACACGAAATCAGAATGAATATAGTCCAAGGTAAGTCCTGTGATGAAAGTCTATTTCTACATAATCCCTATGAGTTGTAAACTTCTTGACAGTTTTGGCCCTATTTAAGTGAACTGGGCCACTTAGGGCCACTTAGCTACCTCCGAGTTTTGTGGGTTTTTTTTGAGACGGAGTCTCTGTCACCCAGACTGCAGTGCAGTGCAGTGGTGCAATCTCGGCTCACTGCAAGCTCTGCCTCCCGGGTTCACACCATTCTCCTGCCTCAGCCTCCCAAGTAGCTGGGACTACAGTTGCCCGCCACCGCGCCCGGCTAATTTTTTGTGTTCTTAGTAGAGACGGGTTTCACTGTGTTAGCCGGGATGGTCTCGATCTCCTGACCTCGTGATCTGCCCGCCTCGGCCTCCCAAAGTGCTAGGATTACAGGCGTGAGCCACTGCGCCCGGCCACTTCTGATTTTTTTTATGGGAAAAAACCTGAAATAAATAAATGTATAGCCTGCTTTGACCTCATGGTTTGTCTTGATCAGAGGATGGATACAGGAGAATAGAGGAGAACCTTCAAGTTTCTTCCTGGTGGTAGCCATTTCAAATGCATAACAACTGGAGAGCCATCCAATGTCCTGTAAACACAGCTCTCTGGGTTTTCTCTATATGCAAGGCAGTTACTAGAATTGTGATGTCCAATATACTAGCTACCAGTCACATGTTGCTATTTACATTTAAATTTGTTAATTAAAATACAATTTAAAATTCAGTTTCTTTGTCACATTAGCCAAATTTCAAGTGCCCAACAGCCACATGCAGCTAGTGGCTACCACACTGGATGGGACAGACAGAGAGCATTTCCATAATTGCAGAAAGTTCTATTGGATAGCATTTTCCTATACTACCTTATTTAAATTATCTCAAACATTGAGTATACCGTTGTGACTTCCAGAAAGCTCAGGTTCTTTTCACACAAAACGCTCCCCTGTACCTCTTGACAGGTGTGACTTGGAGTAGATGTGGGAAACTACCAGTTACAGCCATGAAGCAGCACCTTAAAGAATCAAAAGACTAAACAAAACTCATACCCCACAAATAACAGCCACAACCACACTGCCCATTGCCCCCTCTCTGTGGGGTATGGTGTGCCCACCAGAATGCTGTCATTGGCGGACAGCACACCCAGCCTTCCTGCCTGTCCAGCTCAGCACTGATGGAATCTGAATGAACCTGAGTGTATGACGACTCACTTCCAGGGCTCACAGGGGTGAGAAGGGAAAAGTCATGAAATGAAATAAAATTGCATAGTGAGTTCACTCGTGAAGACCATCTGTCTCAAAGCTCCATGACTCAAAGTTTCTCACATTTTTTTAGTATAATTCTCAGGATTACGGATCAGACTTGTATGCCCAGGCTCAGAATGTGGTCAGGGAATCAGTAATGTATTCCTCCTTGAATGCTCATTCATAGATTTGTCTATTCGCTCCTCCTGTTAGGGAATCCACGAGGGGACCCGGAAAAGCCTGGCATCGCTTCCTGTCAGCACTGAGTGTTCCCCTTCCTCATTCTTCTCTGTGATGCTTCCCTACATATTTCCCAAAAGACATCATAAGCAGGAAAATCTTCCTCAAACACTATTTTGAATGAAAGAAAAAGAAATGGAGACCAATAGAGACATAGATAGACACCCTCCCTGGGTATCAGCTTGGCTTGGGTTTAGCTACTAGAGCAGCACAGTCCCATAGAAATGTGAGAGCCACATATGCAATTTTAGACTCTCCAGTAGCCACATTAAAAAGATAAAAAGAAACATGAAATTAATGTTAATATGTTATTTCACCTGATACATTCAAATATTATCATTTTGACACACAATATACCAAAATTACTGAAATGGTATTCTTATTATTCATATTAAATCTACAAAATCTAGTGTGATTTTATACTTATACCAATTATAATAGCACATCTTGATTTAAACTAACCCCATCTTAAGTGGTTGATGGCCACACGTGGAAAGTGGCTACGTGTGGATAGCGCATGTCTCCAGGAATCCAGCTATGAGATGGTCTTCTCTGGGCCTCAGAGGAGAGTCTAGTTCAGTGAGTTCTATTTAAAAAAATTTTTTTTCAAATTGAATCCCATTTTAGTAACCTGACCCATTTCTAACATCTATAGGCCCTTTTGTATTTTATCACCATCCTAATGGTATTTATAAATGTTTCCCAATTACCATAATTATGTTAAATAACACCTAACTCTCAGTCCAACCTCTGCCGAATATACACCTCCTCCAAATCAAAACACTACTCCCTTTTCGTGATTACATTTTAGTTCACTTCAAATTTGTGAATTGTGTTCTATTTCCAACAGATTTGCACTAATTTTACAAGAAAAATGCTGTAAACTGCCACAGCAAACAAACAACATTTTTACATTCATCTATCTTTCTTCCAAAGGACTTGGAGCTCTGGATAGATTTCAGTTCATTCTTCCTAACTACGTAACCCATTTGGTAGAAAAGTGAAAAAATAATAATAATAAAAATCCAAGGAGAAATAGGAGTTGAATTGTCTTGTTGCTAAGACAATTGTCAACCCCAGTCTAAGTCTTAGGAAGCAGGGCAATGCTTTATTTTTAACCATGGGCAAAACACAGCCTTGCTTCACATTCTCTTTCAGTTCCTGGGCTCATGAAAGAAAAGCGGTCACCAGTAAATCCAACCTCCTTGCTCATTCCTCTGAGAGAGATGGTGGAAGGATAAAAGTCTTCTAAGATCCAGCCTGAATGCAGTTAAACAGAAATAAGCAGTTCAGTTACCCCAACCCCAGCACAAAGACATCAGGGTGTGAATAAAAGGGTTCGAAGAAGTTAGTTTGAGGGTATTTATTTTTTAAACCCTCTATCACCCCAGCCCCCCTTTCTACTCTAGGAAGAGTCTCTATTTTAAAAATCCACATTTTCTTTTTAGTGGGAAACATTCCTTTTTCAAAGGCTCAAGAGTGTATTGATGCAGAAAAGGTAGATCAAGGCCCAAATGCTAAGACTTGGCTCCCTGTGTGGGGATGTGCGTTTCCTGGGGCTTCCCCAGCACTCATGGCCGAAAGAGCCTAGCGTGCTCTGTATCAGGCCGTCTAATGGATGAGTACATCACAGCGAAAGGAAACTTGAAATACCCGCCCAGAGAATAAAATCTGAAGTTTGCTGACTCCCTTGGTGCCAGCGCCTTCTTTGTGGGACTTTCAGCTCCAAGAAGTTCCTACAAGTTCCCTAGACAAAACTCCTGCTCCTCCCAGACCAGCCTCAACATCCCCTTGGTGCTCCCAGGCCACTTCAGCACAGAAAAGCCTATGCCAACTACCTCACCCCAAACTGTCATCTTTTCCTGAAGGTCTGTGTATGTCTCCTTCTCTCCTTACTATAATACCTTTTCATGACAATGTTGTCTCCCCATTTAACTGTGGGTTCTTGAGGGCAGATGCCAAGATTTAGTCACTCTCAAATCTCCCCATAGAGGCTGATAACAGGACTTATTTATGACATGCCTTTGAATGAGCGAATGTTACTGAAAATGACAGTGAAAAAAATGAGATGAGGATAGCTCTGCAGTCATGCCATCCTCATCATCAACCACAAAACCTTGTAGCCCAAAATGCTGGCCAATGCCATTAAGAGGAATGTGTCTCTCAGAGACATAGGATCTGCTCAAACTGCCAGATTTAAAATCAGGTCAAGATATTTTTTCGATTTTGCATTTATGATCAAGATCCATGTTACTCACCCTAAGCCTGCCATAATGCATAATGGAATAGAACAAAAAGGCCAAGGAAATGAAGATAGAGAAGAGGATGACATTTATTCACTCAACTGAACACACACACACGCGCACATGCGCGCGCACACTGATGACGAATACAGCTGCTTATATATTAGTCAAGACATCTATAATAGTCAAGACAAAAGTGTATCTTCCAGAACATGCCTCTGTTTGCTAACCAGTCTCTGTGAAGAAGCTGCAGCTCCCCAGGCTTCTGTAACTCAGGACATTGAAGTAGTCATGCAGCTCGGCACAGTCATCTCCCTGCTGCTCTCCACAGAGCCCAGCAGGTGCAGCTTCTGCCTGGACACAGCTTCCTGGGGGTGAGGGAGCACTGGGAATCCGTTCTTCCTGTCCAGTTGATTTTCTCCTGAGGCCACTTTCCACAGAGTGGATTCTGAGGGATTTCTTCTAAAAGCAAACAAACTACAAAGTGAGTACGTGGCGATGTTATTCAAAAGTTACTCCCCAGTATGACATATATTGAGAGTTAATGTGATCTCTCTAATCCTTTCTTACACACATGCACACTGGCAAACTTGTGTTCTTACCAACACCAGTTCCTTAACCCTTAATTTCTCAACCGCATTACAGCTAGATTTCAATGCTAACCAGTCCACGGAAACTGCACTTACTACATATACCACGTGCCACATACCTTGTTACTTCCTGTTCACTAAGCTTAGTGAAGCAGCTTTCCGTTCTCTATTTTCTTTTGCTCTTTACTGCACTTGATTCTGTTGACCTCTTCCTTTCTGAAATGCTCTATTTCTCTGGCTCCTATGGCATCACTCTCTCCTGATTCTCTTCTCCTCCTTTAAACCCCCACCTTCGTCTTCAGCCAGGCCTGCCCCTTTTCTCTTTGCACATCAGCTCCCCAAACCATGGGGTTCCCCCAGGGTTTTGCTCTCTGCTTTATCTCACACTAAACATGCTCTCTGAGTTATTTCATGAGCATCTACTTTCTTATATCTACAACCACCATCTGTCCTCTGAAGATGCCCAAATCTCTATCTAAACTGGCCCAGGCTTCTGCCCTGAGCTCCAGACGCAGGTGTCCACCTGCTCACTGGGCATCATCACCTGATGACCCACAGCAAGCTCAGACTCAACTTGTCTCAAAAGAAACCATCACATTCCTGCCCCAACAAACCACTCCTGCTCCTATATTCACTGCCCTGGTTTATGGCACCAGCTGATCAGAAATATGGAGGCTAATGTTCAACTCGATTTATCTATAAAACTTCATCCAATTTTAATCCCAGGCAGTTCTGAAATCTACTCCCTCTTTTCCATCTCTATATCCATGTCTTCTCTCTCACCTGGACTTCATCCTCACTGTCTCTGGGCTCCCTCTTACTTCTAGTCCAACTCCGCATGGTCACCAGCGGAGTGATTTGCAAAACCAACAGTTGGGTCAGTCTGTATTTCTGCCTAAAACTCTTCAATGGCTCCCACTGTGTATAGGAGGGTGCTTAACCTGAGATGCACAGCTGGATTTCAGGAGATTTATAAATTGGATAGAAAATTTTGCCTAAAGGGACATTCTTCCGAGAAGAACATCCATAATTCCACTACACACCACATAAGAAACTGTGACGATCCCCAAAACATCCCTTGTGATGATCCCAAAAACATCCCTTCTGATGGCCCCACTCACTTTCCAGCTTACAGGCTAGGAAAGATGCTAAGTGCCTTACATTAATTATTACTTGACTGAAGTTTTCTCATGACCTTATGAAGGTAATGCCATAATTACCAGCATTTTACAGATGAGAAAACTGAGCTTCATCAAAGTTATGTAGTATAGCTACTCAAGTGGTTGAGTCAGGACTCAAAACTAGGACCGCCTGATTCCAAAGACCATGCTCCTAAATAACACAGTCTATGGGCTCTCAAGGTCTGCAGCAAATGCTGTTGTGCCTGTCATAGGTAATTTGAGGTATCAGCTTAACCAGAGTAAGGGACCTGAGAGAGCTAGTAAAGCCCATTTGGGGTGTGTCTGTGAGGGTGTTTCCAAAGGAGATTGGCATGTCAGTCTGAGTGAAGTGCGTGGGTAAGAGCCACCCTAAATGTAGCCAGGCACTATCCAGTCACCTGGGGGCCTGTCTCTCCCAAAACAGAAGAGAGGCAAAAGTGGTCTTTCTCTCTTTGGAGTTGGGACACACTCTTCTCCTCCTGTCCTTGGACATCAGGACACCAGCCTGCCTGGCTTTCAGACTCCAGGACTTAAAACAGTGCCCCCGACCCTGTGTTTTCAGGTCTTTAGCCGTGGACTGAGAATTACACCAATAGCCTTGGTGGTTCTGAGGCTGTTGGACTTGAACTGAGCCATGCTACCAGCATCCCAAGGTCTCCAGCTTGCAGACAGCCTGTGGTGAGACTTCTCAGCCTTTACAATCACACGAACAAATTCCCCTAAAAAATCCCTCCTCATCTATCTATCTATCTATCTATCTATCTATCTATCTATCTATCTAATCTATCCATCCATCCATCCATCTCTCCTATTGGTTCTGCCCCTCCGGAGACCCATAACTATTGTACAGTTCCTGCTCAGATCTCTTTACCTGACCGGCACTCCCATTTTCCAGATGCCGGTACCGTAGGCTGTGAGCTCACAGCAGCCCCTTCTCTACAGAATTGTTCTTGGGCCCTCCCTGGTGAGCAGCCAGAGGTAATGACTGACCTAGGTGGATTTCCAAAAGGCCAGCTCTCTGCCTAAAAGTTCAACCAACTCTGTGTACAATTCTTACTTCAGCCAAGTCTCCAGCTGAGACCATATCCATGCTGAGCTTTCTTCCCTTAGCCCTCCCTATACTGCTTCCTTCACTTCTTTTCATCTGAGAGCTGTCCCAATAAGTCACTCTCGCCAGAATTTGCATGTCAGGCTCTATTTCCAGGGACCTGATCTAAAACAGTTGCTGCTGGGAACAGTCCTAGAAGGCAGCCTGTAAGAACAGGATTGCGGAATGGGATCACTCACCTGCTAGATGGCAACACAAATCCCATGACTGGTGGTGAAATGAGAGGGACACAGATGGATGGGAACTATGAGCTAGAACAATGACTCTAATATTTGAGATGCATAGGGTAAATAGTTACTGTTACAACTCTGAAATTGGGTAAATAGTATAGGGTAAATAGTTACTATTAGGACTCAAAATTGACTTTTACTAAATTGCACTGATGGACTGAAGTAAGAAAATGACAGCCTCAGACCTATCAGCAACTTAAAGTGTGAGAGTTAAAGCTCCTCCTTGGCAGCATTTAAGAGACACTCATCTCTCTACAGCTAAGACCAGGTCCGTAAGCTAATGGTAAGAAGGATAGGACTTTAAAGACAGCTGGATTCTAAGCCTAGGTAAATTTTCTGTGCCAAAGCTAGCATCTTGATAGTAGAGGGAAGTCTCCTGAAACTTGGAATGAGGATCTCTGGAAAGATGCATTCGAGAGCCATGAACCACCTGCTTCTCTTGTACTATCTGGGCTGCAGAAGTGGCCCACTTCCCCTTGATGGAAGAAAATCCCTGCTGGGCCCTGCCTCTGCCTCCCCTACTGGCCATCAGACCTGTAATTGGGGTAAAATCTCAGCCCACGGTAAAGGAGGAAGTGCTGGGTCTGCTAAGAGAAGAGAAAGGTTATATACTAAAGGACCTGGCTAACATATACTGGCACGGACTGGGAGAAGATGCCTAGGCATGAATTCTGAAGGTGATGGATTGTGGTGTAAGGTAGAACGTAAGACTGGATGAGGGATAAGGTGTCAGTGTTGGAACAGTCAATATTTAACACCCTCACAAGGGCCCAGGAGATGATACTGACATACTGCCGTCAATAAAGATGACAACACTGCTTTGGCAAACTATGGAAAAGGGAAACAAAAGGCTCAGAGAAGCAAGAATGCTAGAATAAACCTACTAAATCAGAAACTGGCAAACTCAGTTTTGTGGGTCAAATATGGCCCACTGCTGGTTTTTGTACGGCCCTTGAACAAAGATGGCTTTTATATTTTAAGTGTTTTTTTAAAGCAAAAAGTTTTTAAAAGTAATATCTTCTGCACAGCAAAAGAAATAATCAGCAGAGTAAACAGACAGCCCACAGAGTGGGAGAAAATATTTGTAAACTATATATCCAACAAAGGACTGATATCCAGAATCTACAAGGAACTCAAACAAATCAGCTAAAAAAACAAATCCCATCAAAAAGTGGGCTAAGGACATAAACAGACATTTCTCAGAAAAGGATATACAAATGGCCAATAAACATATGCAAAAATGTTCAACATCACTAATTATCGGGGAAACGCAAATCAAAACGCAATACCACCTTACTCTTGTAAGAATGGCCTTAATCAAAAAATAAAAAAATAACAGATGTTGGCATGGATGTGGTGAAAGGGGAACACTTTTACACTGCTTGTGGGAATGTAAACTAGTACAACGACTATGGAAAACAGTGTGGAGATTCTTTAAAGAACTAGAAGTAGAACTACCATTGAATCCAGTAATGCCACTACTGGGTATCTACCCAGAGGAAAAGAAGTCATTATACAAAAAGCAGCACAATTTGCAATTGCAAAAATATGGAACCAGCCCAAATGCCCATCAATCAATGAGTGGATAAAGAAATTGTAGTGTGTGCGTGTGTGTGTGTGTGTGTGTGTGTATGAATATATATGTATATTCATACACACACACACACACACACACGCGCGCACACACACACCATGGAATACTACTCAGCCATAAAAGGAACAAAATAATGGCATTTGCAGAAGCCTGGATGGAATTGCAAACCACTGCTCTAAGTGAAGTAACTCAGGAATGAAAAACCAAACATCATGTGTTCTCACTCATAAGTGGGAGCTAAACTATGAGGACGCAAAGGCATAAGAATGATACAATGGCCGGGCGTGGTGGCTCAAGCCTGTAATCCCAGCACTTCGGGAGGCCAAGGCAGGCGGATCACGAGGTCAGGAGATCGAGACCATCCTGGCTAACCCAGTGAAACCCCGTCTCTACTAAAAAATACAAAAAAACTAGCCGGGTGAGGTGGTGGGCGCCTGTAGTCCCAGCTGCTCGGGAGGCTGAGGCAGGAGAATGGCATGAACCTGGGAGGCAGAGCTTGCAGTGAGCTGAGATCCGGCCACTGCACTCCAGTCTGGGCGACAGAGCGAGACTCTGTCTCAAAAACAAACAAACAACAAAAAAAAGAATGATACAATGGACTAATGGACTTCGGGGACTCAGGAGAAAGAGTGGGAGGGGGGTGAGGGATAAAGGACTACACACTGGGTACAGTGTACACTGTTCGGGTGATGGGTGTACCAAAATCTCAGAAATCACCACTAAAGGACTTATTCCCCAAAAAACCTATTGAAATAAAAAAATTAAAAAATAAAAATTTATAGAATGAAAAACTAATATTTTATTACACATAAAATTATATGAAATTAACATTTTAGTGTTTATAAATAAAGGTTTGTTGAAACAAAGCCATATTCATTCATTTATGTATAATCTATCGCACTTTCACACTACAATGGCAGAGTTGAATTGTTGCAACAGAGACCATATGACCTACAGACCCAAAAAGATATACTATCTGTCCCTTTACAGAGACACTTTGCCAATCCCTGTACTGAATAATTTCCAAAATCCAATAGCTGATTATGTTGGCTCTTCTAGGGAAGATCCAGAGAACATCCCTTAAGATAATAACAACAATAAGGGGGAAAAGGAAAAAGAAAAAGAATGTCCCTTTTACTAAGCTGTAAAAGAATGTGCTAGGGGAGCTCCAGCATCATTGAGAAGTTTGGTGGTATCTCTCCTTTATAGGCTAGGGCTAAAGTAGGAGATGCTTTTACAGAACTGGATCCCTAGTAGCAATGAGGATGAGGAGATCCCAAAATAGTACAGGACAGATAGCAGCACTTAAGAAACAAAATGGATGTAATTACTGCAATGGGAGCCAAGAAAGCCTGATCTGTGGGGATATTAAAATGGTTAATAGAGCATGGTGTGCCCAGGAGAAATACAGCTGGGCAGCCAAGAAGGGTATTGCTTACATACATAATCAAAAGAGATCAAGACTACAAGAGAGAAGGCTGAAGCCAGCCAATCCCATGGAAAGTCAAGATCCTTTGTCCAGCTTTCATGTCTATGAGCACTGCTGGTATGGATACCATCCATTTGCCTCTTGGCTCTACTCTCTAACCTTCTCCACCCTATTCTGTGCCCTATGAAGACTGTACTAAATGTACTATATCAATGAGTCCCCTTGTCCTCCAACCTAAGTTTGAGGTCAGCCAATGCCGAGCAACAGTAGGGGAATGGAGGGAGGAACGAGATGAGGGTATGTAGTTCCCTTTGTTCTCTCAGAAGGGTGACCTTGGACTGGTTGTGACCCTCCAGCAAAGACTACGGCACTTCTGAAGGACACCCCTCTACATAACTCTCTTCTTCCAGGCTCCAATAATTAGTCCCTCCCCCTTTGTCCCCTTTGAAGAACCAGGAATGGTTACAACACCTTGCTACTCCTCCTCGTGGTGTCCTTACATCCTAGTAGACTTCTGGAAATTCTATTATTAAACTGTCTTCAAACAACCCAGTTTGAGAGTACTACGTGTTCCCTGCTGGAACCCTGAATAATGCAAGTATAAAATGCTTTGAGCAAGGAGAGACAGAGAGAAGACTGGCAACTATAGCCAAAGTACAGGAAAGATGCAGAGAGGACCTGTACTACACAGCAAGCAGTGGAAATGTTAGAGAGGGCTGGGAAATCAAACACTGTAGAAGGGGGGGCAACAGGACTTAATAGATCTCTTCACCTTTTTCTCTTTCTCCACCCTCCAGATGACCAAAGTTAGTCCAGGTGCCCAGAATGAAAATTAACCAGTCTTGAATCTTCAACAGAAAAAGTTGTTCAGCTCCTTCTAAAGGGCCTTTGATTCTTTTATTCCAGACTATCAGGACACTGCTAACAGCAGAGAACCTGTTCACCAACCACCATAGCAGCTCCATTCCCAGCTAAGAGATCAACTTTCATCTTCTTCACCTCCTCCCCCTATTTAATCATTTCTCTTGTCCTCACCTTCCCCTAGAGGGTTCATTTCCTCATTATGTCTACTGTGATAGCCTACACATAAATGAAAATATTATAGATCATTGACCTTCCCAATAGCACCAGCCATATATCTCAGCCACTGCAGTTCAACCGGGCTGCAGAATTGAGTTGTTATTGAATGGAATTAGAATTGAAGGAAAAGTGGGTTAGGATCTCAGGAGGTGGGTCTAGGGTAAAGGTAGAAATTACAAACTTGTGTTTCCCAAAATATTTATGTGGTGACTTGAATTAAGGTGACCTGGGCTGAGCTGACTTAAATGACCCAAGAGATCAGACAAAACAAGGAGTGGAAATTCTTTCACTCCTCCCAATCAATACTGGCAGCTGATGACACAAATTTCACTGATATAATTCTTCATTTTTTATAAAGATTTTACATGAAATATGCCACTTATTCATCACAATTCTATGATATAGAGCAAGCCGAATTATAATACGGCTATGGTTTCAATGTGTCCCCCAAAAGTCCATGTGCTGGAAACTTAATTACCATTGTAATAGTATTAAGTGGTAATGCTTTTAAGAGGTGATTAGGCCATGAAGGATCTGCCCTCATGAAGGGATTAACGCCATTATCTCAGGAGTGGGTTAGGTATCATGGGAATAAGTTCCTAATTAAAAGGATGAGTTTGGCCTCATTTCTCTCTCTCTCTCATATGCACTCATTCATCACATGATGCCTTCTGCCATGGGATGAACCCTGCCAAATGCACCATGTTCCTGGACTTCCCAGCCTCCAGAACCAAGAGCCAAACAAACTTTTTTTCTTTATAAATTTCCCAATATATTGTATTCTGTTACAGCAGCAGAAAATAGACTAACACAAATCCCCATTTTATATATAAGGAAATGAAGACCTTGGAAGATTAAGTAACTTTCTAAAAGCATACACTCAGTGCCAAAACTAGAAACTAGATCTTTCAATTCCCCATTCATTACTCTCAGCCACATAAACTCTTAAGCTAAACAGAGGATTTACAACCTGCTGATCTTGCCATGCCCACTTTACCACCAATTTTTTTTTTTTTTTTTTTTTTTAGAGATGGAGTCTTGCTCTGTTGCCCACGCTGGAGTGCAGTCGTAGCTCACTGCAGCCTTAAACTCCTGAAGTTAAGTGATCCTCCCGCCACAGTATCCAAGGGGGTGGAATTACGGGTGTGAGCCACAGCTCCTGGCCTAGCCCTACATTTTTGGAGTGTTTATTTCTCATTCTACAGACATGCTGGGTAGCCTAGTACTACCAGAGTGTTGTAAACATCAAAAGAGCTAATGTGCAGAAAACTCTAGCATATATAGATGCCCAGAATGCATCAAAATCATAGTAGATAAATTAAACTCTCAGAGCAGTGACTGAAAGGATAAGCAGAAACCAGGAGTTACAGATGACAGCAAGATGGGTAGGAAACAGGTCCAGCTGTCCAGGAGGTCCCTCCCTACAAGAGGGACAAGGGAAGAGCATAAATAACTGCACTAATAGGCAGAACAAGTGCCAGGAAAAAAAAGGCACAAAGAGCACTGGGGAAGATCACATCTGGGTCTCTCTGGGTGGAAGGACAACCTGAAGGACCAGGGTGGCAGCTGTAGGGGTGCCCATGACTGAGATGTGCAGCCAGAGCCATTACCTTTCTAGCCAACACGACCACCACGATGACTGCTATGCAGATGACCACCAGCATCATGGCCATGGCTCCAAGCAATGGAATCTGGAACCTGGCACTGTGCTCAGCCACTAGAGGGAGGACAAAACAGAGATGAGTGGCAGAAGCTGGAAGTGAAGCTGATTTCCCCAGGGCAGCCTGAGCTTCACGGCAGAGAGGTAAGTTTTGACCAGGCCCTTTGTGTAACCATGGGACTAGAGCCTTTAAGCCCAACAGCAGAGTATCCATCTGGCCCATCATGAAATCAATGACTGATCTTTTGAGCAGTGGTGTACCTTGTATATTTGACACCAGAGCAGGTCATTTTAACACTCCTTTCCTCTATTTGACAAAATCATTTTTGGTAATCATGAAATGAAACAAATAGTAGTTCCAGAAAAAAACTCAGAAAATGAATATTTTCTTTTATTGAACTTTGAATATGAAATCCTATCAATAAAAATATTTAATTCAAAATTAAAGTTAACATTAAATTACAAAAATGAAAAAAAGCATGTAACCTTTTCCCTTAAGCCTATAACACTTATTTACAGCTACACTTATTTCCAGCTAGGCTTGAAACCCTGGATGACATGAGGCTCTGGAGTCTTATCCTTTGCTGTTTTCTCAGCATCTGACACATAGTGAACACTCAGTAAATATTTGTGGCATAAGTGAAATCAAGAACTAGTGAATTTCATTAAGAGATAACATGTAAGTGGAAGCAAGAAGATGCAGGAGGGGAGTTCTGAAGAGATGAATAAGATCTGCTCCCAGAAGAGCGTGAGAAAAAGAACACCATCAGCCCCCTGCACGCCGTGCTGAAGGTGGGTTTCCAGGCTGCCCCAGGAGCTCAGGCAGCACTCAGGTATCCAGGGGAGTCTTCAAAGGAGTAGGGTGCGGCAGAGAAGCCTGACATCTGGTCCCTCTAACTAAGGGTTTGGGTTGCTAAAAGGTGGCTTAGGAATCCAAGCCATAATAAGAGAAGGGTGGTGCCTGCAGAATTCAAATTCCCCAGAACATGTTCCTCCTGCCTTGAGGGACTCAGTCACAGTGGACCGGGACAGCTCCTGGTTAGCCACAGCCATACAGTTAGCACTGGAGGAAAGAGGGCAGATGGAAAGCAAAGGGGTCATAGAGAACACACTGCAGCAGGTAAGAGGGGCTGCAGAGGGCTATCCATAAAACCAGGAAAGGATATATGATCAGTTAGGGAACAGAGCCAGATCGGAGCCAGGGTTAGGCCTGGGTTCTCTTACACCTTGAGGATAGATGAAGATAGATGGAGTTAAAAGCATGTCGAGGTTTAGGGAAGATTATGATAATGAGTTTGGTTAGGTTTAAGGATAAGTTCGAGATACAATTAGGACAAGAGTGGAATTTGGGATATTAGGAATATCAATTTCATTCGGAATTTTTGGTTTGAAATAAAAGCACCAATGTCTCCATTCACAGTTATGGTCATAGAACAAAGACATCAAGGCCTTTGAAAGAGAAGCAGCCCTGAGTAAGTGTGACATCACTACATGCAGGGTGGGGGAGGGGCGGATTTTGTATAAGGGTTACTTAAACCTTCTGCCTATTAACCAGGCTAAGTTTGGGGTTAAGTACAATTTTAGCATAAAGGTTAGGAATAGCTTAAATATTACAGATAGTATTAGGATAGGGACTTGGACTAAGGTTTGAGATTAGGTTCAAAAAGAAGCCAGGGTTGGCGCTAATGCAAGTAATTAAGGAGAGTCAGCACTCCATGTAAGCAACTGACCCCTTGGGAAATGAGAGGGAAGAGCCAAGTGACCAATGGTGTTCCCTGGAGTCTGCAATGGCAAAAGAGTGGAAACATACAGGCTTTGTGGGGAGGCTGCATAGGGGTCCAATAGAACATCTTCTGATCTCTCCACAGGGCTCCATAAGCCACAGAGAAGAAATGTGCACGTTCATTTCCCCAGGTTCATGCTGGGAAATAGCCATGCCACTGTGGCCTTGGGGAGGAGCGTGCATGTCAGGACCACGGATCCATGAATGACCTGGCCTGGAGATTAGCAACCAGACATAGCTCCCATGTGGTCTTCAGTTGCTGGGACCACCACTCCACAGGGGCCTTCTGCCTGAACTTCCTCCCTGTTCCTGGTCCTGCCATCTGGTGATGGGTCCTCTGGCATATAACACTGGGGTAAAGAGCCCAGAATGGTCAAGGCCATCACTTGGTTACTTTGCCAGAATCCAGGTCCCCTGCCCTGCTTATTGTCCCAGGCCTCCTCTAACCATGAACCAATAAATAGCATAAAAACTAGCCCTTATTAAGTCAAGCTTATTACCTGTCTAGCACTGTTATAAGACCATACTTGTATCAACTCATGAAATTATTTGCCACATTTTATCGACAAGAAAACTGAGGAAAAAAGTACATAATTTACCCAGATTTTGTGAACAGCAATAGTCAACCCTGGACAGTGCAATTCCAGAGCCTCCGCTCTTAACCTGTTTTTGTTTGGCCTATGTGAAACCAGTTAAGAAGCAACACTTTGGGAGGGGCCGAGGCGGGCAGATCACCAGAGGTGGGGATTTCGAGACCAGCCCGACTAACGTGAAGAAACTCCATCTCTACTAAAAACACAAAAGTAGCTGGGCATGATGGCACATGCCTGTAGTCCCAGCTACTCAGGAGGCTGAGGCAGGAGAGAATCACTTGAACCCAGGAGGCAGAGGTTGCAGCAAGCTGAGATTGTGCCATTGCACTCCAGCCTGGGCAACAAGAGTGAAACTCCGTCTAGGGGAGAAAAAAAAAAAGAAGTAACGTTTGAAAGGAAACTTTAAGGTAACCTTCTATCTTCTCAGTTTACACATATTTTGCAAATCATATAACTTAATCTCCAACATAACTGATAGCAGTAAATAGGAGTTCTGAGGATGCAGTTTAGCAGAACAAAAACATCTGTGTCAAAATGAGCTTTACCACTTTAAGCAAAACTCCAAGCCCCAGCTTCCACCTGCGTCAAATGGGAATCATACTAACAGCTGACACGTACACAGAGCTTACCATGTTCCAGGCACTGTTCTAAGGACATTTTCTTGTAGTAGGGAATTTAATCCGACATTAGCATCGCATAAGGTCTTATATTCATCCTCCTTTCACAGATGAGAAAACTGATACACAGAGAAGCTAAGAAATCCTGTCTGAGGGCAACAGCAGAGCCAGGATTTGCACCCAGACTGTCTGGGGTCAGAGTCTGAGCTTTTAACCATGGTGCTATACTGTCTCTCAGATAAGAATCCTTTTCTAACCTCTGGGAATTGGTTTAAATATGCAGGTGGATAATGAATATGAGGGCATTTTGGAAACTTGGAAGTACCACACAAATGTAAATTATTGTACAATTAAACTTAGCACAGGCTGTGCTTTGTTTTTAACCAGCTCTAATCTTTATATACTTAGGGGTTAATTCTAATTTGCACAATTGATACTAAACCAGTAAATGAGAACTTTTGCATATGACCTTATCAACTGGTCTTCCTAGGAAATATAGGGAAGATGTGCTTCTTATGTAAGAACAGTGGAACAGTGGTTCTCAGTATTGGCTGTCTGTTAGAATCACCTGGAAATGCTTTTAGAACCTACCCCTGTTTAGCTCTGCTATTAGGGATTCTGATTGAATTGGTCTGGGTGGGGCCTCGGCATCAGTAGGATTTAAAATCACCTCAGGTGATTCAAATGTGATCCCGAATTGAGAAGCCCTGCTGTGCAGTGATTCAGGATTGCATTTTCTATGCTAGAGGGAGAGGTTTATCTGCCAACTTGCTCCAGCAGGAATACCTGAGCTTTCTAGGACCTCCAGGAAGATTCTCCCTGTGTAAGTCCCATCAGGGTAGGTGTGATAGGTGCAGAAGTACTCCCCTGTATCATTCATGGTCAGCGACTGGAGGGTGAGGCCCAGGCCAGGACCCGGGTCCACTCGATCCTTGAAGGCTGGGGAGATGTGCCACCCCAGGTCAGCATTACAAATGGCCAGAAGCTGGTCCTGCTGCTCCCAGTTGACCTGGGTCACTTGTGCCATGGTGGAGGAGAGGTGACATTGTAAGATAACAGAGCCACCTTTCTTTGCAGAAATGTTCCCCGTTGTTTCTATTGTGCCTGTCATCATTCCTAAGGAAGAGGACAAAGCACATGTGAGACCTGGGTCAGCAGCTGGCCTTCAACCTTCCTAGAAAAACTCCTAGGGGCTTTGAGGCCACAACTGGCTTTTGGAATGATAATTTCTCCAGTCCATCCTGTTGCTCCCCAATAGAGGCTGTAATTACTTCCTGTTTCTTGCATTTCAACAGACGCTCCTCTCCATGCCTGTTATTGAAGGCTCCCAGTCCCCCTCAGGTTGTCTTTCCAGTCTTCTCATCCTTCACACATCTCTACTCCAGCCCAGCCCAGTCCATCTCCTCCCCACCCACTGCCCTATGCTTCCAGAGCCGACTTCTGCCCCACTTTACACCCCACCCACAGGAAGGCTTGTCAAAGCTGAACTCCCTCCCCACCTCCTAGAAGACCCCAGCCCATCTCAATCTCCCTTTTCCTTTCACATTCACTGCCTGTATTGTACAATTAGCACCTTACTAAATGCCTGGCTTATGACTACATAACTTAGCCGTTGCCCCCTCAGCATATTCTGCCGTGTAGCTTCATGGCTAGCTTGTTATTTTCATAGGCCTATTTTGTCTACCTACTTAGAATATAAGCCCTAGTCAGCCGACACCACCTCTTCTGTTTTTGTTTTATTTTGTTTTGTTTTTATGTTTCTTCCTGCAGCCTAGTTCTGTGCTGGATGCATTATCCTTTGAAATAAAACCTGGCTGTTTGGCTGATTGTCATTTGCAGTGCCTGAAAAAACCTTCAGGAAAGCCAAGAAATCCAATAGAAAAGGAAACTTAGCAGGAAACCCTGCTTCTCCCAGGCATAACCACCCTCTCAGCAATTAACTTCTCCCCAGCACCCCGGGGCACATCTCCATCCTCAGATAGTTCAGAAAGCAACATAAAAACTAATTTATACCACGGTTTTTAAATATTTGTGTTCCCCTCCCTCAGAAATAGTTGACTCCGATTTTTAATATAGAAGAAATGAATTTAACAAAAAAATCGGTCTCTAGTGGTAGAATCTCCGGAATCTGTGAAAAAGACATTTTCAATTCACAGAGAACTTACAACGTTTTCCTGGAAAGTTCCTCAAAGGCAACAGAAAAGAAGCCGGAGCAGGAATGAGCTTCTGAAAGCAAACTGGCAATGCCTCCTGCCCAGCCCTCCTTCTTCTCCTGCTCCTTGTACTGGCCATTCAGGCTCCCCCAACCCCGAGAGTCTACAAAGTCCTTCATCTGCCACCAAAAACAGAACCGCACCTCATTCTCAGAGATTGTCCTTTCTTACATGAGAGTACACAGGACCCTAAAAACTGCAATTTCTTTCTCTCAAGCAGCTGTGGCATGCTCTTGGAGTCTTTCCCTACACAAGCACCCAAGTCTCCACACCAAGCTTAGCCTTGTTTTTCCTCCCCGCTGCTCTCCTGGGTTTCAGGCCTTACCTGAGGCGAGGGGAGCCTGCCTCAGCCCCTGGGCCCAGATCAGGAAGAGACACCACTGCATGCTTCTGCCCAGAGGGCCTACAGGAAGCAGATGTGGCCTCTTCTGCCACCGAAAGTAGCCGACTACAGATAGGACGGTAAAACTAAGCCTATGAGAAAAGACGGTCTCAGAAAAACCAAGTTTGGCAAAAACCATGTTAAAAACACATAAAGTTTTCAACAAATACACAAACTGCATAGGGGGAGCCACAAGAAAGGCCATGAAGGAAACATTTAAAAATAAATGAAAACTGTGGTTAGAGGTACACTCGTCTTTGGACTATAATTAGTCAATCTATTGTTTTTAAGTTCTGTCTTAATGTATTTTCTAAAAATCAACCTGTATTCAAAGAGCTCAAGGGCATCTGTGTAGTGCCCAAGTTCTGAAGAATCTGCTACTGATGAGGAACTGTTGGCTGAGCTCCTCCGGCATTCTCCTGATGAAGAATGTGCAATGACAAGAGAAACTTATAATTGTAGGGACTTATAGGCCAGGGACTGCACTTGAAATCTAATGAACAAGTGAACAAGAAGCATTTACTTGAGGGATGATACATGGATGGGACAAAGGTCTTGGACAAACACAGCAACTTTCCCTTGAAGGAGATCTTCTCCTCAAATCTTATTTCTTTTGTCTTGTTTATCTAGACTGAGACTTGGTTGAATTCTGGCTTAGTTTCTCTGGTGCAGTAGGATCAGAGGAGATTAGAGGAGTGAGCTTTCCTGTGCACACTGACCTCATGAGAGCTGGAAATGCAAAGAAGGGTGAGCCCCTGGGGGCTGACCCAGGAGAGGGATTGGTTGACATTTGCCTGGAGCTCCCATCCCATCATCAGATCCTACCAGGGACCCATCCTTCTTTCCTCCCTCCCTCCCTTCATTCATTTGAAAGTTCCTGAGTGCCTACAAAGCACCAACCTCAACACCAGGCTCTGAAGATATGAGAGTAAATAATCACAGCCCCTACCCTCAAAGAGTTTACAAAGCTTGTTCCCTGGTGAACTCAGTCAGGAGAGGGGGTAGAGGATCCACGTTCACCTGCCTCGCAGGCTCTCAACACAGTTACCTTGGGGATGCTCCATGTTGTACATCCTGAAAATCTGCATCTGCACCCAGAAGCATCTGAAGCCTGGTGCCCTGCCCCCTCCATTCCAGCCATGCATCTCTAGCATTTCACACCATCCAGGCTCCTGCCCTCCTCCCTTGCAAGGTTTTCTATCTCAGGCCAGTCTTCTCCCCTCTCTGGGTTCTGCCTATTCCCAACTCTATGACTTGTATACCCCTTATACCCCACCTTCAGACCCTTAGACAATATATGCCTTACCAGCTTCTCTCTGCCTACCCAATTCAACCTGTCCTTCAAGGCTCACATCAAGAGATGCCTTGCCTTTCAATAGCTACCATGTCTTCAACTGAAGGAGCAAAAATACCTAATGTGTGTACAAGGGAAGGTGCTGAGGTTGAACTGGAGGGATGCTTCCCAAACTCACTAAGGCCGGGGAGCCAGGAGTGGCAGGGCCAAGAGCAGCTAGTGGGACTAGAGCACAGAAAGTGGCGTACACTAGTATTTGGGTTATAAAAATTTACAACCTGTGTTTCCATAGTGGGGGTGGGTGGGAGCCAAAGAGGTGAGACCTGTCTTATGAAATGAGCTATCCAAAGAAACTTAGAATTGGTTTTAAACAATTGCTAAATAATTTTTCTGTTTGTTGCGAAGTAACCAGTCCAAAGAGGAACATGGTCAGGTCCATTTTGATCAATGTGCTCTCCAGGGGGATAATTAACAGACTGGGTCCAAAATCATCCTGTTTGGTGACCTTGGAAAACTTTCTCAACCTCCTGAAGCCTCAGTTTCCCCATCTGCATATAGGAATAAGAGTACCTCTTTCATAGGGTTGTGAGGATTTAATGAACTAGTGTTTGGTGAAGTGTTCAGCACAGTGCCTAGAACATGGCAGGGGTTCAATACATCAATAATAGTATTGATAACCATATTAATTAAGGAAGTGAAAGGAAAATCGGAGGACAATATCCCTATCTATATAATGTGCTTTGCCAAGAGTAAAATCCTTGTCTCCAGACTCCAAGGCCAGGGTTCCACCCAACCTCTTCATTCTGCCCTCCTTATCGGATAGAACAGGAGGACAGGATGTTTCTGCAGGAAAGCGACCACTTGCCAGCTAGACTCTGAGGCTGCCTTGGAGGAAAGCAAATGACAGAAGTCTCTTTCCTGGAAATCTACCCCCGACCCTCCAGAGCCTCCTGCAGAGACTCCACGGGGAACCTGGCTGGTTCCTACCCGCTCAACACCAGCCCCCAGCACTGAGCGGCTCAGCTGTGAGAAGCAGGCCTGCTCTGAGAGCGCCTGGGGCCACCCTGAGCCTTCAGGGCTAGTCAGCAGCCCCCGCGGCATAGCAGGGATCTGTGAGGTCCATCAGGTGCTGACTCACATTTCCATTTTAAAAACGCTAAAATCAGCCACTGTGCTGTATTCTCCTCTGACTTTTGGGGCTGTGAGTTGGACAAGTGTGGTCCGCCTTGATGCAACTGGGTGAGTACAGGTGCTGAAAAGGAAATGTCATGTTTGCCTGTGAAAGGGGAAGAAGTGCTGGCCTAGACTGTGAAACCCCCTTATAATAGTTCACAGCTGGGCCTTCCCCCAGCCCGCCCTAAGCCCTGTGAAAGTCCCGGGCCAGACGCAGTTGAGTCCACAGCCTCCAACCCCAGGCACAGTCCCGAAAACCTGTGGCCCTCAGCCCTCAGCCAAGCGGGGCTGGGAGCGGTGGTACCTTCCAGAAGATCCGTGACTTGTACACGGGAAACAACCTAGGGTTCTCCCAGAGCACAGACCAATCTCCCAGCAGTGTCTTTGGGCTTCTGCTTCTCCAAAGTCTTCCCTCTGGCTCAGATGTGGTAGGAGAGCTCCATGGCTGTCACAGCTGTCTGAGGCCTCCTGTCTCTGCCTCGAACAAGGGCAACATCCTGCAGCAGCAGGGGGTCGTGCTCTCTCCTCCAAGCTCCCCACTCTCCGCTCTGTAGAGCAGCGCCTCCTGGTGGCAGGTTGTATTATGGCGGGGGGCGAGAAGGCCCTGCCTCCTGCTTTAGATGTAAGAAGAGAAGGGCGAGGAAGCACCCGAGTCCTGACACAGGGGAGACAAGGGGACCTGGCCGCCCGGGGCACCAGGAAGGGCTCGTCCTGTGTCCCATCACCCCCAACTGCCTCACAGCCTTAGCCAAGCTTCCTCACAGTGGGGTGGTCTGAGTAATGGAGTTCCAAAGCCACTTGTGGAGAGAGCTGCCTCAGAAAATCAGACTCCACTCGAAAGGACTGCCCATGATCTGAGGCTTATTAAGCCGTGGGACTTGGCTGACACTGGAAAATACAAATGAGGAGAACTTGGGGTGGGACCGCTGACTTCTGTTTGTCAAAGGTCCCTCCCGTGGGGTGACTCTGAGGATCTATCTCCTCCATCCTCCAAGGCTGCCAAGAAGTTCAACCGACTATAGGAAATTTCTTTCTTCTTCCCAGCTGTGAAAATAGGACAGAGACCCCTAGGATAGGTTGGAATGCAGAGTCAGAAGAAAAATCTTTGGAAAGAGGCAGCTGATCCTCTCAGCTTAGGCCTCTCCTACTGCCTCTCTTCACAGCCCTCCTACCCACCCACATTGCTTCCCTCTTTCTCCTCCTCCATCCTAGATGGAATTAAACTATTGTATAATTAGAAAACTTGTTAAAGCAATGATACTTGTTAAGCGTTCTTGACACTTGTTAAGCAATGATGCTTGTTAAAGGTAAGGCAGCCTTTATTCAGTACCATCACAGTAGGTATAGAGACCAAGGCAATGGGATTTTGCAGTGGGGTAGAGACTGGGCTCAATTCTGAGTACAGCATGGGCAATGGGAGTTTATCACCAAGAAGCACGGTGGAGGTCAGTGGATGGAAAAGTGCTAAGAGGAAACATCACGGGTAAGAAGATTCTGACTAAACTGACCTAATAGGATTCTTGCTAAAGACAGGCCAGGGTAGATCAGACATAACCTGAGAAATGGTGGAGGATGAGAAACTGATAAGATATCAAGGGTGATCAGATATAGGGGGACAGGGATTCTTGAGAAACTGACTTATCCTTGTTCTTGGCTAAAAATGGATTTTACAAGGAAGTGTGTGGATGGGCCTAGGAAAATGTTCAGGAGCCTGACAAAGATTGGTCAAGCAAAGAATCATTGTCACTCTCAATCCTTTATGCTATCAATCCACCCCAGCCCCATTTGCCTTGGGAAAGGTGGCCTCTACCCCTGAACACTTCCTTCCTTCTTTCTCCTACCTAGAGCCCTCAGTCATCCAAGACAACTAGAACTGGGATAGAAGTACACATGAACATATCATTCCAAGACTCCCTCAAGCATCAAGAGCTCCTCCTGCCCACAACAAATGAATGCCATACCTAAAAGATTTCACAGAGACTATAACAAACTTCTGAAGAGCAGATAATTTCAATGTTACTTAAAATATACAGACATAGAACACAAAGATTTCTTAATTAGTTTTGTGATATGAATTCAAACTTTATATAAAAGTGATTAAGATTGCACACAATTAAAGAATGCCAGATTTGAATCTCACTTCCAAATATTGAGGGAAAAGTTCTAAATAAAATTTTGTTACACAGAGTCCAATAATATATTAAGTAAAATACATAATTATCAGATAGGATTTATTCCAGGGTAGCAAGAATGATTCAATGCTGCAAAATTCATTAATTAATAAATATAAGGTCTATATTTTTCAAAGCCTATAATCATTTCCTTTGATTCTGATAAGCAGTCTGACAAAATCAATCCCCACGATCTTTTTTTTTTTTTTTTTTTTTGAGACAGAGTTTCTTGTTGCCCAGGCTGGAGTGCAATGGCACCGTCTCGGCTCACTGCAACCTCCATCTCCCGAGTTCAAGCAATTCTCCTGCCTCGGCCTCCCAAGTAGCTGGGATTACAGGCATGTACCACCACGCCTGGCTAATTTTTTGTATTTAGTAGAGCCGGGGTTTCACCATATTGGTCAGGCTGGTCTCAAACTCCTGACCTCAAGTGATCCATCCACTTTGGCCTCCCAAAGTGCTGGGATTACAGGAATGACCTCAAAGAAACTCCTGACCTCACGTGATCCATCCACCTTGGCCTCCCAAAGTGCTGGGATTACAGGAATGAGCCACAGTGCCCAGCCTGACTGATTTTTTTTTAATTCAGTAAAAGAAGAATCTGTAAATTATTTTTTCACACAATTGTACACACACATGTAAAATTAGCCCCTAACTAGCATCTCTTTTTGATGGAGAAATGCTAGAGGTATTTCTACTAAAGTCAGGAATAAGACAAGGGTATCCATTATTAATGGGACTGGTTAACAACTTACTGGAAATATTAACCAATTTAATTAAGTAAGAGAAACATTTAGAGGTATAAGAATTACAAATAAGGAGATAAAACTATTTCTAGTTATAGATTATTATATATGTGTGGAAAACCCAAAGGAATCAATGGGGAAAATATCATAAACAATAAAAGAACTCTGAAAATTAGCAAGATATAAAATTCATACACATGAACAGTCTTTCTATAGTCACAGCAGTAATTAATCTGAACGTGTTTTGAAAGACAGCCTCCATCTATAATCACAGCAAAAAATAGACAGAATACTTAGGAATAAGTTTAATAGGAAATGCGCAAAAGCCATAAGAAGAAAATTTGAATGCATCAGCTGTCCTTTATGTATTTAAATGAAATTCTACAAATACTAAAAGAAAACATGACATAAGTGAATTCCTTTAAAATCTGGAAGTAGAGGGTCTTTTAACTGTCACTCAAAATCTTGAATCAATACTTAGAATTTTGTGTTGATTTGATTACATGAAGTTTTTTTTAAAAGGCTTTTGCATTCATATAACGTTATAAAAGTCAAAAAACAAGTGACAAACTAGAAAAGATTCTTGGGGACTTATTTCACAGCCAAATGATTAAGCTTTTTAACATAAATAGTTCCTAGAAATCAAGAAGAAAAAGACCAACAATTCTGAACATATCCAACGACCTGAACTGAGAGTTCATAGAAAACGAAATAAAAATGTTCCTTAAACAAATGGAAAGCTCCTCAACTT